TTGTGATTTGCTTTGTAATTCCTTGTTGAAACACCTTTAATATTTACACGAGAATAGGATTCACCGTTAAATGAACGCAAGTTCGATTGACCCTGAGATTGTAGTTCATCAGGACAACTAAGCAAAGTATTAGAAATCTTCATCGACTGGATATCAAGTTCATTCACTGCTTCATAGTTAATACACGCAATTCTAGCATCTTGAAAGGAACAGTTTGGCATTCGTAACAGCTCTCTTTCCAAACTCGGTATGTTAATTCCTGCAATTAATCGATCTCTCAGTTGTACATGAAGTTGATCACCGAAATTACATCATGCAGCTTGTTTCTGCAATTCAAGGATGAATTCCCGAACTTTTTGGTCATTTTGACGAACCATCTTATGAAATTTCGCCCTTTCACGGCATTCAAAACTGGTGCATTTTACATGATTTAATAATAGCTCTTTCAGAGTTGCATAAGGAAGTGAGATAGGCTTTTCTGGATATGCCAAAGTTTTTAATAAGCTGTAAGCTTCTCTTCCAATGAATGTCAGGAAACGTGCCACAATTTTATCACCTTTGACATCTTTCTTAGTCATGCTCCAGATTTCAAACCTTTCCAAATAATCCTCAAATGCTTCCGAAGTTGAATGAATGTCCAACTTTTCCATTGCAGGTTCCATCACGAGGCCAGTATAATGTTTTGAATTATTTGAATTATAGCACGAACTAAGAGTTCAAGAAATAACGCAATTGAATTAAGAAGACACAGGCACAACCGAATGTACTGTATTTGGAATTCGAAATCGTACAATCAACCAGTACAATAGTATCATTAGTTCGTTCAAACACCACACAAGTTTCCCACAAGAAACAAATGCATTATGAGGACAAATAATATTTGATAGAACATCAAGATTTGATTCTTCTGAAATAGTTTCCTCGAATTTTTTAAGAATATTATTGCAGAGTGAAGGATCATTAGAAAAATCAGCATCTATCAAAACTACACCAGGTTTTCGATCATGACTAGGTTCATTATCTTGGAAGTCTCATCAGCCATTGTGGTTTGGTGTGTGACGAAATCTCAGCACGGATACAGAAGGCTCGACTAGCTTTTGCCAACTTGCGTCATTTATGGCGTGGGCGAGATATCCGTCTATCAACCAAAGGACGGGTTTACTGCGCAGCAGTTCGTCCCGTCCTACTTTATGGCAGTGAAACATGGCCGGTAAGAGTAGAAGATATTCGTAGGTTACTAGTATTCGATCATAGGTGTCTTCGAAACATTGCTCGTATATCATGGGACTATCGAGTAAGTAACACAGTTGTTAGGAAGCGGGTACTAGGTAAGGATGGCAAATCAATTGATGAAGTGGTGAAACTTCATCAGTTGAGATGGCTGGGACATGTGTTACGTATGCCCAACGACCGACTGCCTCGACGTGCGATGTTCAGCGGTATAGGAGTAGGTTGGAAGAAAGCTAGGGGTGGACAGGCCAAAACATGGCACAAGTCCATGAAGTCACTGACAAGTGGTCTGAGTCATGTTGGTAGGTGTAGACTACCTGGTTGGGGACTGCGAGATGATAGCGACCGATGGTTAGAGACCTTGAATGACATGGCTCAAAATCGTTTGCAATGGCGCAGGTGCATCCACTCTTTGTGTTCTCCTAAATTTTGATCTTCTGATTCCCCCTTGTCTCTTTTTTTTCTCTTCCCATGTTTATTTCACTGTATTATAATATTTAAGTAACATCTCAAATCACTAATCTTTCCGATTACTGCTTATACTCTTTTTACCTCTATCACTACGGGATTTGAATCGACCACGGCATCTCTGTGCTAATGTGGTGTGGCAACTCGAACTGATGTATGTACGTACGAAGTTCTACGTTGTTACTGACTGACTGAGGTTCATTCAACATATTTTTCTCACATTTGCAAGGAATTTCATCAGAAATATGTGAATCACTAGGAAAAACCATATCTGGCACAATAACATGAGAAATCTGATAAGTTGATTGGTTAGAAACTGTAGTCTAGTATTTACAATTGATTGATCACTGGGTGGTGATCAATGTCTTGCTTGTCTAGTCCTTATTAGTGCAGATCGAATGCTATCGATCATGTTGCAATGTGGCCACCAGTCTAGGTGACTCGACACTGCGGGCACTATGTATTGAGATTTAGATGGTGGTTGGAGGTAGTCAACAGGAAACTGTTGTCTAGTATGGATTCTGAGATTCATTTAACTCTGAACTGTTATATGACTCTACATTGTCTTTTGAAATCGTTGATAAAGATAAATCAATCATCATCATTAATA